CACTCCTATAATATTGCGGTTTTGTACCGCGCCATCTCAAGGTTGCGATATAAGTGCTGCGGATATTAACAGATATCAAAATTGCATATAAAAATAACAGTAGATCGCTATTGCTTTTGGAAGTTACCGTCTAGGATTCTTTATGATTTAAAAAATGATCAACAGATGTATAATTACGTACAGTTAACTTTACTAGAGTATTTTCAATAAATAAAACACAAAACATTACAAATTGATCTAATATTTATTAGGCTTTACAAGTTTACATCGGCCATCTAGAATAAAAATGATTTAGCTTCTGAAGAAAATAATTTATATCTACTTTATTGTCACAAACATTATTATTGTCATTGTTATTAAGGAAACTTGATAAATGAATTAGTTTCTTTGTATTTAAGCTAGCCCACCTTAATTTTTAAATCCTAAAATGAAGTCTAAATAAATAAATTGAATATATTTTTATTCTGACAGAAGAATCAAACTTTTTAACTTGGTTTAGAGTCCAATCATAAGTGAGGAAAATACAACAGGCTTGACTCACTTGACGAGTTTATTAGTATTTTGTACAAATCGAACTGTACAATATGAGATTATGCAAATTGTTTATCGAAATTGTTTCATTGATCATATTAAACAAACTTATCAGGAAAGTAATATTGCGATAGACTAGCTCTTGTACCTCTTATACATCTTGTACAGTATTGATGTTTAATTAAAAATATTTTTATCAAATTTCCTTTTTATATCTAACTCCATAAGCCACAATTTAGCAATATTCACGCAATTTACATCTAAATTTAAAATAATTCTAATTTAATTAAAGCCGTTCTATTATTTACTACCTTATAATTATTATTGGAATAATATTGACTTTTTAAATCATAGGCGCCTGCAGATCTATAAATAAAATAATTATTCATTATAGATAACATTTGTACTAAAGCACAAGAGGAATGAAAATAATCGATAATCTGTAATATTATTTTCAAAAAGGAAGTTAAAATATTATTTTAAGATTAAGTCTGACTCCCGTACCGTCAAAAATGTATTTGATTTTAAGACGGGAGTCATAGGTCGCTAGTGCACAGTGCGCTAAGTTTCGTACATTGTAACTTCCAATATTTATAACGAGTTTTTGTCTCGCGCGATCCCAATGTTGCGACAACAGCGCTACCCAATGTTGCGATATCAGCGCTACCCAATGTTGCGATATCAGCGATACGGATATTGGGAGAACTACATCGAGATAGATGTCACTGTCGCTATTAGAAGTTACAGATTATGAGCGCAGGGCGTCAATATTGAATTATTCTAGTATCCAAAAAAATATTATATAATATAACTAACCCCTCTGACTTATGGGATACAAAATATTGTTAGGTACATTACTTTCTCACCGAAGATATATATTTAAACCTTTTTGGTTATATCCTTACAGTCTATCCAGTAAACTATGATTTGAATGTTTGCAGTATTTTGTTACCTTTACTAAACAACACAAGGGTGATAAGGACAAAAAATATTTATGAGGCTTAAGAATAAACATATAAAACACTATGAGACATTAGAGTAAATATATAAGGTAAGTATAACTTATCTATCTAGACCACTAGACTGCAGGAGCTTAAAAGTTAAAATAATACGTTTAAATAACACTTTTCACAACGTTACCATAAGACGTGTTTTTTAGATACATTTAATAAATCTATGTCCAATTAAAACGCGCAAGATTATTGTTAAAAAGTTTTACTGTTCATATTATTGTCGTTTCAGTCTTCCACTCAAATTTTACCCGTTTTAATCAGTTACATATTTTCTAAGCTCTAAATGGAATTATATTTGATTTAGGCACGCTAACACATCACAAGCTAAAGGCTAGGCATACCTACGTATTTCTGATATTTGAAAGTATATTTACAATTATGGCAGTATGCATAATAATTTACTGAATATAAAATAGTATTTTAATGGTAAAAATGAATAATATTCGTTATAAGGACGAACTAATTTTTATAATTATTAATTCAATTAACGTTACGAATAATTCAAGCAAGCTATTGGAACTTTTGAAGATTTATATTGAATAATAATTTTATTATAAAAATCTAGAAAATGTATAAATTCACAACCTATTTATTTGTCTATTTTTATAAGATTGTGATTTTATGTCGTTTTTAATTGATTAAGGTATGCTGCTACTAGCATAATATTTCCTATACTAACAAGTCATTCTACGCTTTCAATATATTTTTCTAATATATACATAAAGAAAAAATATATCTGACTAACATGAAAAATAAAAAACTTAGTACGAAGTCAATGTTAGTGATTTTTGGTCCGAATTATTCTTTAATAAAAATTATTACAATTGTATTTTGATTTTATAATAATTCAATGTTCTTAGGCATGAAAATCAGAGTTTTTTGTTAATGTTTAAGACCTAAAGTCTTTCTTTCGATCCAATATATTTTACTTCCACGTGCGCAAATAACGCATCGTAATATGATGAAGGAAAACCATGCAAGAAAACTACTATGCAGACAATAATCGTCGGTAATTATAGGGCACTATGGGCAAGTTATATAGCCACTTCATTAGTCGGGCCGACTATACTCTAATTTTTAATTCCGTAGAATTCTGACAGCTATCATTTTTTGACATGTCAGAGATTACAAACCTTTTTGGCCGGGCACATTATTCAATTTCAATACGAGTCTGAACATCTGAGGCTATACTTATTATATATATATATATTTTAATTTGTTAGCATCCATTTTATTGAGTGCGGTGGTCCACATTAAAAGTGGTTTTACGGCGAGTGATAATTACGTCCCTTTTCATCACAGACAGTAAAAAACGCACAAGTAAAGATAAAATTTTAATTTTTTACTAAACCTGGAATTAGAAGGCAGTTATATATTGTTCGTGATATTGAAATATTTGTTATTTTTGTATTAGGTCACTTGAGTAAGTAAATACATATTTACCTTTTTGTTGGTAATACATAAAAAAATACGTAGCATTTTATTTTTTATTGCCCCCAAATGGGTCAAATTTGTCCCTTTTTCGGTGAAGAACTTTTTTTAGTAACAACACTGAACAATGAAATGTCAGAATTCTACGGAATGAAAAATCAAGAGATTAAAATATACATATATATTTTTGTTCCAAAAACTAAAAAGTGTTTCGTATTGTATTAACAGTATAATTAAATAGAAGCCTACTTTCTAATATTATTGTCTTATTATATTGTCATATTTTTAATAGAAAGCTCGATACGATAGATAATAGTTATGTTTAACAATATTTTTGTGTATCGATTTAAATACTCTTTAATAACATTAATAAAATTCATAATTAATTAACAATCTTTTTAAATCATAGGTAATTAACGAATATTTATTTAATTTATATGGATATAATTTATTGTCGTGTTTAATTAGTACATTATTAGTTCTAAGGAAAAAGAGGTATAAGTATGGACCACTAAAACAGTATGATAGAAATTTACATTGCACACATTTTTCCCGTATTTTGTACAGCTCATACAATAATGTAACAAAAACCCTGTGAATTATCTTTCCAATGAAACTATCATATCATTATATAGTTTAGTATGTAGTCGCTATAGCAGCCATTAAAACCTAAAAGCAAGGTTATTTGATCACATAATATAAACGTTATTGCCTTTTATGCATTACATTTATAGGCGCAAAGTTCTCATAATATTAAAGGGGGGACATCAGAGTCCTTTCATTTCTTCTCGTTTCTTCTTAGAGTCGTTAGAGCAACAATTTAATGGTAGACCAATCGTGGATATATACGCACCGATACCCAGTCCTGACTTGGATCTATTAGATGTTTATACGTTTATACGCGATAACTGTTTATTTAATTTATTGACAGTTCAACGAGCAATACATAACAAGTATAATCAGAACACTAAAATAATTAGGAGGGCGACGCGACGGCCCCTTCTAGGCAACCATTGTAAGTAAAAATAGAATATAGTAAGCGCAAGAATTTCATAACTACAAATGAAATACATTAGGTTAAACATAATGGACAAAAAAGCTTAAAGAAATATAAACAATATCAGAAAAGTAAAGTTATTTCAAATAAAAAGGTTCTTCGAAGCCTCTGTCCTATTGATTCTTGTCAACTACCGAGAACTAATAATAATAATAATATAATAATAATTTTTATTAATCAGACAAATACAGTCCATTGACTGATTAGTGAGTTAGTAACGATAGTTTTTTAAGATCTATGTTAGAGAATTAGTAAAAATAAGGAAAAAGTAGTTAAATAAAAACTATCAGGTACAAAGCCCTGCGGAGATGTCGGAGCAATGCTAACATTATAGTAATAATAATAATGTGACGAAGTTTCACAGGATTGTTGATACAAGGTGTATGTAAGTATGAACACACAAAATAAACTACTAGAAGATAGTAGATACGTTAGCAATTGTAATAGAATTGTTGCTGTGTTATTTTGCGTATAAAATAGACTTAGGTACATATATTCATTTCAATATGTATAGAATCAAGATATGACTAGGGATATGTAGGAATAACAACTGTGGGTAATAATTAAGTGGGTATAATTATGACAGTATTTTGCAGTGGACACATTTGTATATTTTTTTCTCTTTAGTAATGGCCGATATTCTTCATTCAGGACCTAGTTTCAGCTGAAGCGGATTTATAAAATAAGACCAATAATATATTTTATGTTTGGGGTTCCAAAGTTATTTATAGCGATGCCGATACGACACAGTAAAATAGGTCCAGTGTTTTTATAACACGTTGTTCGCTTTCCGGAGTGAGCATTTTTACGACGATTTAATACTTAAAGCTTTTGGAGAGTTATAATTATTGTTACTGCAGTAGATTACAAGTAGGGCATAATATAAGCATATGTTGAAATTTTTTTACGTGCCCACTCCGAATACAAAACAAAAACTATCTTACCATTGCTACAGTCCTTATTTCTGTTTACCTCTTCGGAGACAAACTTTGAACATAATTCGGATCCATTTCGTCTAAATCCCTACCTTTTGTTTCCGGCACACAGCAAACCACAAAACAAAGTCCTCCAACACTTATAGAGGCATACAACCAAAACGCCCCATACAGACCTAAAGCTTGCTGAAAATCGACAAACGTTTTGACACCAACAAAAGCACATAAATAGCTAAAAGCTGTCGCCATAGCACTTCCAAATGCCCTGTATTCTAAAGGAAATAGCTCACTTATTAAGAGCCAAGAGATGGGACTCATACCCAAGGAGAAAGCAATGGTAAAAACCAGAACACACAATAAAGGAATCCAATCATTTTGTCCGACTGTTTGATGAAACATTACATTCTGAATTCTTTGATTTCGGTGAACCTCCTCGTAATACGCATAGCTTCCAAAACCAGCCAAGGCCATTGACATTAGAACAGAGCTGACTATAAGTAGCGGTAGACGACCGACAGTATCAATTAGCAAGCCAGAAAGACAGGACGCTAATAACTGGACAAAAGATACAGCGATGGCTGCGCTGTGCGGGTTCATACCGCCAAAGGTTTTCCTAAAAATTGGGACAGCGTAGAAGGAAAACGCATGAGCGCCTGAAAACCGTTGAAACATCATGAGACCACAGGTCACTAGAATTGGTCCAAGGAGACGGTTCATCGTCCTAACATCTAGAGAACTAATTAATTGGCTACTTGTCATCTGACTCTGGCGCTGGCTAAAGTTTTTGCTTGCTAGAACGTTAGTACGAATAGTGGCTAATTCTTGTGCTACGTCCGAGTTCGGACCTCGTAACCACAAAAGGCTCTTATACGCTTCTTCGTCCTTTCCAATTAGCACGAGATAGCTTGGCGTCTCTGGTATATAAAGAACTGTGCAGAATAGAAGTAAGGGTGCGGCGGATATGCAAAGTGCTAATTGTTGCCAGTCCAAATAGGCTCCAATGGTGAAGCTGAACAGTACTCCGAGGTGTCCGACGACTTTTAATACGGCGCTAAGACAGCCACGAATATCTGGTACTGATATTTCACTGATGTACACCTGAAAAACGAATTTATTAGTAAATTTTGATTCACGTTCGAGACCTCCTCGTCTTTAAACGCGCTCAACAAGCTCAACAAAATTCAATTATAAATGAGAGTTTATAAGATAAACAAATAATTATTTATGAAATATTCACACAAGCCCATACATATTCTACTTAACAATATATAAGGAGGAACGAAGAAACTTTTCAATTAGTAAATTTTCGTCGAAAAGGCTGACAAGAGGTATTATAAAGTTTCGAAGGATGAATATAATCAGGCCTCATAAGCGTTTGTATAAATAATAAACTTATCTTGTAAAACTTCCTCCTTTGGAGCAATTTTATGAAATTAGTAAACAAGACGTTTCAGTACTTCAGGAGTTTGTAGAACTTTACAAAAATCAATTATGATGTAGGGTGTGCAAATTTTTTATTTTTTTACTTGGTGAATAAAATGAATTTTTTTAATTTGAATGTAAGTCCGTAGTCGTTTTAAATGTCGTTGAATCGAAATTCTTGTGGCAGTTGACATGTCAAAACATGCTCTTTAGTACTGTACATTATAATTGAGCAAAAGGAATATTAGCTAAATTTAAAAATATAATTAAATTTAAACACATTTAGGCATTCCAAGTTTAAATCGGCAATTAATAATTTATGGCCACATTACAGTTTAACAGAACGGATACGAGGTCTGGGCCAAATTAGTATATAAGCTGTAATCAAATACAGTCTTTATCTCTGTGAAATAAGATTACAATTTCCTTAAAGTCATCGCCGGGAAATTTATATGAAGTTGTAAAAGGTATGTTCCTTGCGAAATGAATCGTTTTATCTTTTACGTCTCGATAGACAAATAAGGGGCACTTAATTGGTTAAGAACAGCTGTATTTATCTTCAGAAATCTGTACAAATGATTTTCGCAAATTTGTCGCAACTTCACAAGTAGGTACACGGGCACATTTCTGTGTCTACAGACAAGAATTATTGGTGAGTAAGGATATCTACACTAAGCTGAAAAATATATGAATAATTACATATTATCAATATAATTAACACCGTTTTAACTAAGAATCAATCTCTTTTTATCAGAGCTTATTACAATTTGACAGAAGAAGGGAAATAGTACTAATTCTGAGTAACTTATAAAGAGGATTCTAGAATTACCTGAGATAACATTGTAAGTATGGAACAGCAAAACCCGCCCAAAAAGGCAGTAATGCACATCATACGGACACTCGTGGCTAGGACAGTGAGCAGCCATGACAAGCTGCACGGTGCTGCAGCCAGTGAGAGCACGCGGCGCCGCCCATGCCGCATCGCTGCACCGCCTGCCATTCCACCAAATAAGGCGCCTGAAATTAATTTATATACGAGTAAATATGTATTTCTTCCATTTTACAATTTATGTAAGACATATTGGTATAATTATAAATAAGCTAAAACTGAGGCATAATATAGATGGTATGACTTCCTTCGCCATACGAGCAACAATTAAATTACACACATTCATTTGTGCATAGACCCGACACAAACCTAGTACTCTACTTACCCAGAAAAGATAAGGACGCGAGCCAAGATGCCTGCTGATCCGTCAGCTGGAAGTCCCGTCTGGTGGAATTTCCAGGACCCTGCAGAGATGCGATGGCGGGGGAGCTATATCCTTTACCCAAACCGGCTGAGAACGGTGCTAGGGAAACCGCTAAAGCTGCGATTACCTGAAATTTAAAAAAATCTAAGAAAACTGAATAAATTATGTGTGTGCTTATTTTGATTTTGAGATTCATTACACATTAATACAATTCGAAAGGGGTAAATGCTTGTTGTGTTTCCCTGATTTTAGATTGAGACACATTTCGATGTTCGCTATATTGTCTAACACACAATCTTTCGTACGTTTAAGAATAGACGCTTTTTCGGTTTCAGAGGTTTCTTTCATCTTTAATCACTTTCGTTTCAAAACTTATATATTCACTAACAATCTTCTCAATCTGTCCTATGCTGAAACCGAAAGTATTCTTCGTGTTCAACATTAGTTTAGTTATTAAATTGAAAGGTTTATGTAGAATTTATTATGTCAAGTACCTAAAATCATTAATTTGTCAAATGGAAGTCTAGTAGAGACTAGCTACCCACGACAATCCTAGTGCACTTTCTCTTTTAACTAAACATCCTTTTTTATTATGTGTAATAAAGTTTAAATCATTATTTCTTTCAGGTAAAGTTTACTTTCGTGCAATATACACGTATAGTATCAGGTGACAGGTGTCAATTATATCACCTTTAGACGTGCTTACAGACCTAACCATTATCTCTTACGAGATCAAGTATAAATACGCTAGTCAAAGAACCAATTTGTATAAATTATGCGCGTTATTCGAGGTGCCTCCACCGGGTAGGACTTCGCTCACTCCAATAAGCTTCCGTCTTTTTTCGTCGCCCTTTAGGCGATTGACCACCCCGCGACGGCCCAAGCCGAGGTCCGAGTCTCGCAGGAGACGCCCTTGCGGTAGTCGCGGGAAAAGCCCATTCAGGCCGAGCTACGCTCGCCAAAACAGTCCGAGCTGCTGTCAAGGCATTTCAGGCCAACAGCGACATTCGATTTAAAAAAAGGCGCTGTATTATATATACGTTAGTATACTGTATCTTGTTTTTTCATTAAAGATTTTCACTCTCCCTTATAAACGTCGTAAATGAAACAGCCAGTCCAAGTGTTTACTTAAAAATCCATCAGCCCCCGAGCACGTAGCGTACGTGACAAGCTTTAGGTACCTTGAGGTGATGTAACTGAGTTTATTATGCTTTCGGTAAAGTACTTTAATAGATCTCTATATCAGGCAGACGTGTCCCTTTTAAAACAAATAGAATTTAGGTCAGAATATTGGCAGGCTGTCGTTAATCGCTCTCTAGCCCTTGCCAATTTCCAGTTAGGTATCTAAAATTAATGATTCTGCAAGTGTCGAGTCCCGTCGCCATTTTAAAAGGGTTAACGAGTCTCAAGCAAAAAGTTTCATCGAATTTTGACCCGCGGAAAATTACATTTTAATTAATTTTCATGAATTTGCTTGAATATAAAATTGTTTGTTGTGGTATTAAATGATGCATATTGACATAGTTATTGGAACGTACAAATTAAATGACGTACAGCCTTTACACAAACAATAGGTACCTACGTGAAATCGCATATTAACACGTTCACTGCGCCATCATTTTCAAAGAACTTTCAGCTGGTGCTTTGGAGACCTAAAAGATCTCGTAACAAGCCTATCGTTTGGTGCGTTTGAGATCTAATCAGTCTCTGTATAATAATTTATATCTTCCAAAAAAAACAATGACATATATTTTGAAATTTTTGTGGGTGAAAGATTTTGATTTGTGGGTGAGAGATATTGCTTTATATTTTGCTAGGTTCGCACGCAGTTACGACATTTGAATAAACTACAAATACCAAAAAAAAATAGATATCGATTGTATGTCGTACCGCAACCGAAGATAGTTCAATATGTGTAGTAAGTAGTGATGGGAATAAAATAATATCTCAGTTATCGATTCTAAAAGTTTTATTTATTATGCAAAGTGTTTTTCATTAAAACATGGTAAGCACATTGATTGCTTGCACATTACGCGCAAAAGTATAACAATTCGTTTAGATTATTTAGAAGCTGTCAGTGCTGTTTAACTGCGTGTGCTCCAACGAAAAAGGTTCATCGTTTTCTTTGTAGGTACGTCAAATATTTCATAATCAGAGTCACTGTCATTATTAGCCAATTTGGGGCAAATTTGGACATTTTCCAACATTTTTATCGACATCCCATGTCGATTCTAGGACAACACTGAAAAAAGTCCGCGCCGCCCATCCTCCCTCTCTTGCTTCTACGAGGCGTACGATTTTACGAGTACCGACATATCTCCTAACGCAAGGAATTAAAACAATTACAGTACTGTGCGTTAGGGACCTAATCCATCTCTAATTTCTTTTTTAATGTCCTTTAATTCAGCTTTAAGTAGGAAGCAAATATGTATATTTGTCCTGCTCATACTTAAAGAACTTTACAAGTTAGATCCTCCCGCAAGGAGTGAAAAAACACGATTATGTTCAACGCACAATACAAAAGTCCTGCAAGAGATCTGATAGATCTCGTTTTGCAGCGAACGTGTTAAATGCAATGGTAAAAATTATTGTAAAGACTAGAATAACGCTCCGTATACGTATGTGAAACTAGTGAAATTCAGAATCGAGTCAGCAGTATCTATCACTGGCGTTTCTAGTCAGAGACGCTCAAAGTCAATCTTGCGCTTAGTAATCTAAGCCCAGTGATGGAATTTTAGCACCACACAAACGAACAATCATGTTATTAACAGATAGTTAATGAGGTAATATTTAACACGTTATACAAATTAAACTTTTAATAATTATTACACTTTGAATTATTTTCTCCTTACAGATTCAGATGATATATAAAATTATGTCCAAATTTTTTTTTGCAAAGAATGCATTATTACATTTTTATCTGGCTATACAGATTAGTAAACTAATATACCTACCAAAAAGAATAGAAACCAGCCTTGGCGAATTTTGACATGAACAATGTTAATGGGGCTTGAGTTAAAAAAAGTTTCGACAGGCGTAACCCACTAACGCTAAACGTACGGGAATGATTTTAGTTCATGCTTTGTCACTTGACCATTTTCTACCGAATTCGTCATTGGGGATCACTACTTACACTTTGTCTCAAGCCTATAAATACGATTATGTAAACTTGGTGTGGTCGCGACTCAGGAAAGCCTGAATTTTGTCAGTCTTACAATAACGTCTCCAAATCTCAGCATGGGGACTTAGTCAATATACCATAACAGTAGTGTATGTAGAAAGTCGAAAACTAAATTTGTATGAAAATGACAGTTCGTGTCGCGTGTGACTCGTAGGTATGGTAAGCGTTCGAGATGTCATCAACTCACGTATTGATGAACATTCTTTACAATATGACAAACCTATCGAGACATGGGTATTGTTAGAGTACCAAACGACTATTGACAATATTGTTGCATTATTACTTTGACGTTTAATTCCTGTTGTATTATCAGATTTGTCGGAATCGATGTATATACAATGGCAAAAAACTTAAACTATTAATCTTGCTTGGGCGGTCACGCCAAACTATTTTCATAATTAACCTCTATAGATAAATAATAGATAGATAGCAATGTCGTCGGTACTACTTCTTCGTTGTACGAGATGTTAAATGCTCAAACAAAAAGCAAACTCCATTACATGCCGGGGATCAAATCACGACTTAAGACCTACAGCCGCATTTAAATTTTAGCACGAAATTAAATTTCTATTATTTTATCTATATAAGACCACTTGAAGCTACAGTTAATAAACTTAACTACTAAAATGTTTTGAATTATAATATAACATATTACTTTTACCTCTGTTGCTATATACATAATATAAACTTAATTAATTTGAAACGTAATCAAACCACATTTGACTTAAATCAAACATGTTACTCGCTTCTATTTGCATTCATTGGGTTTAATATAACGTCGTAACTTATGTAGTGAAAATTAACTAATATTGCACTGCACTAGTTTGCTAAGTACCTACTTTCAGCTTTTCATTCTAATACAACATATCTTTTTTATATTAAGGAATATCTATGACGGTGAATTTGGTACTTGTGGTATAATTTATGTATATTTTATACCTATTTTATTATGGCAATATTAAAAGCACCAACCATCTTAATTAGGGATCGTAGATTTTTGTCGAAATATGTCGTACGGTAAATTAATGTAATGTAACTATTGAAGAGAGGGCCTGCGACTGGCTATACTCTTGGGGCGTAATTTCGACGATTTAGGAAATCGCCACGCTTATAAAACTAAGAAAGCCTGAACAAATTGTACAGCATTGGCTTGTACAATGATAATGTATTAAATTGATAGACCAAACAATAGTTTTAGATACACACTCTAACACACATAGACACACACATATATCCAATTCAAATAAGTTCCATCTTTAAAATCCAGAACAAATTAAGTGAAATTGATTATTTTAATAATCTTTGTTTAAGGTCGCGTTGTAATGAGCGGTGTAGTCTTATGATTTTTTTAGAAGTTACGACATTTTGAATGAAGAACATGTCACACACATCATAAATGTAGTTATTTTAATTCTTTACCCATGTCAAAATAGTATGTAAGTAAAACAATATATTATAATTATTGTACGGAATTTATGTTGTAAATTGTTAAAGTCTTTTAGAACCGCAATATTAATCAGATAATAGAGGAACTGTTCATGACGAATGAACTCAAAAACCACTGGACCGGTTTAAAAAATTCACTATTAGAATGAAATTGACCATTTTTCAAGTATTAAAATAACCACTTCTCCCATTTGCAAACATTGCATAATCTACAATGTTCATAGAGCTTCACACGGATTTTAAAGTACATAATCAGATTAGTGTAGACACCGCTTTTGTTCTTATATATAATGCGATTTTGTCTAATTTTATTAAAAGTGTGATAAATCTCAGAATCGCGTGAATTTTACACAACGGCACGGAAAGGTGTCCCTAAGCTTCATGAATCGATTTAGTGATCCGAAATAAGTTGTTTCACCTCAAACCGAACACATAAAATCGAAAATGTTTCATGCTAGAAGCGAAGATCGTTACCTTATATACGTTCTTTGGCCTTGAAGACCTAAAAACGTATATAACGTACGTACCTACGATATTCAACAACAAAATTTATTAATACTGAACCAATACCAAAGCGCTAAGTGTGTATAAACATACGGATCCCTTCCCTCGACACTTTAGCAGTTAACTAATATTTAATAACAACAAATATTTATTTCTTAACAAGAATTATGAAAATTACGTTGATAATAAATAATAATAATTTTGCCCAAAACAAAAGCCGATCTGAGCCAAATGGTATACAAAGTTATGACCGCATCCGCATTTATGTCAGAAATAATTCCAAGCTAAAGAAAACCGCTAAGCCCTGCCCTGGCTTGAAACTTGGTTGACGGACTGGGGCCATGAGATAAACGAATTCTTAAGAATAGCATTTTTTCACTGATACCTTTTAAGGTGATTAAACGAGATTATGAAATAATTGAAAATTTCGCGAGTTTAAAATTTATTTATTATTATTTATTAATAAAAAAAAAAAACGTTTTTTTTACACCGTTTTAAATAATGCACAAAGCTGTCTTTGCATCGCAACATAAATTCTTCTGTCAGAAAGAGACGAAAGAGTACAACTTCTATTACAAGCTTTTATTTATAAGGAAATTCTGACATATATGTTCGAGCTACTTTCCCAGCCCTGCGATTCTGTAACTCACTTTTCGAACTCGCACAGCGGTTTTCGCAGCGGCGGTCGCGCTCAAATCAGTCGTGAAGCAGTCATTTTACGATTTGGAATTCTGATAAGGAGGGAGCTTGTAGTTTATTGTTTATGTGAAAAGTGAGTTACAGAATCGCAGGGCAGATGTCAAAAATCTTTGACCATTTGCCAGAATTGAGGGTTAATAAAATTAACATAAGCTAAACAGTCACAAATGAATGTATAAAATGTGGTATTTCGTAACTAGCCTGCGCTGCAACATAATATTATTACTTTTCTAAAATTTAGTGACGCACCCGTCATTTAACATTTTACGGTGTGACTTTTGACATTTTCCTACAATGAGACATAGTCTTAACCCTAGATCACTAAACTTTTTTTTTCAAACTCTACAAACTAACAAAATAAAACCGCAATATTTATCAAAACTAGAGTATTTATTTAGAAAAAATCTACTTAAAATATGGAATGTCTTTTAAATTACCACATAATAAAACAAAAGGTTAAAAAAAATTATTCTTGGCAGTCGGCACACACTGGAACCGTATGTTCCCCGCAAATCGCCGTCTTGCAGCGGCTGCAAACATATTTAGTCATCCTGTGTTTTTTGTAAGGACAAAAAGAACATATTTTACGCTTATTTTGTTGCGCTTGAGAGGTACTAGGAGTAGCATCTTCAATTTTTAAAATATCTTTAATACTAGCTTTTATATCCCTCCTCAAAGTGACAGTGTTATACCGCTCTCGTAACCATGGCTCTATGAGCTTATCGGCTAAACTTTGGACGAAACTCCTACGTCTCATTGGTTTTTGCCGTTCTCTGACCATGGTCCGGGTACAAAATGAATAATGTTTCGAGCCGATGCACGAGTGTTTGAAGAGCGTGGAGTAGTTGCCCACTTATGTTTGTTTTTTCCATAAATGTATGGTCTCTCAGGTTGTATTACCAGATCCTGGTGAGAAGCTATGGGTGGACAAGGCTGCAAACACTCCAAAGAATCATCATCAGAATCTAGGATTCTGTTTCTGTTACGGCTTCTCCGGGAAACATTTAGATCTTCATCAGAAGAACTCGACGAATCATCTTCAATTTCGTCGGTATCCTCGACTAAGTCCTCCTCTAAGTTGTCATCAGGTTCGGAGTCCGAAGGCACACCAGATGGTCCAAAAAATGGTGAATCGTCATCGTCATTATCTGACTCGTTCAAAATCTGCAATATTTTATTTTGATCTCGTATCAAATCCATCTGTAACAGAAAATACTGCTAAAACAAAATGTTCAAAATCTCATAAAAAAATAAAAAATGATAATAAGTTCATAAAATAAATATTGCTCGTAGTATCACACATATTTATTATTCATTTACATTAATCAGTAATTAGTTATTATAGATAAAATCGTAAATAAAAAGAAATATTTCATAACTTACCTTTCTTCACTTTTGTGGCGCAATTACTAAACATTAGCCTGAGAGACTACTATTGCGTAATATCTCTGGAAGTAGGAAGCGTGCGTACGCAATGCGAGTTCACGGGTCACTGATTGGCCGAATTAGGAAGGTACTGAGCGGCTGAGGGGGTGCGGTAACGGGAACATACATAAACAGCGAATGCGTCAGAGTCGTGTAGCCTGTGAGACTAATGTTTAGTGATCTAGGGTTAATACAGTAGAATGAACTATTTTGTAGCGTACTTTTAAATATAATCATTGTAGTATTTGATTTCTTCAATTACTTTTACTAGTTTTTACGTCAACGCTTAATCTTATAGAATCGCTGTGTTTCCAGCCACGTCCTAATTAATAATCTGCCACAAACAGATTGAATTAATCATTTCGCTTTCAGATTCTGATGTGACAAGTCAATTCTTACTGAAACCAACTCTACAAAAGAAGTTATTTTTAGAATTAATAAGAAGATTCTATAAAAATATTATTTCATTCGCCTCTCTTTGAAAACTCGTCAGATTATTTATTTCTTTTTACATTATGGAATTTAAAAGGTGTAAAGCACATCAAAATATACGTTCGTTAGTTTTTTAAGATAATTAAACGTGATAAAGGGTTCAAAGAGTAATAGTAAATATAGCCTTAACAAACCAAAAGTATTCAATTGATCATATTGCCAGGAGAGAACCGAATAGTCTCGACAAGTTGGTAATGGTAGGGAGGAGTGATGGCAGGAGATGTCGGGGTCGATCGCCTACACGTTGGTCTGACCAGGTAAAGACAATTATGGGTCTCAACATCCGTAATGCCACAAGACAAGCTGAGGATAGAGTGGTGTGGAGACAACGCTATATATGCTTAGGGCTTTTCAAGACAAGCACGACCTTCAGTAATGAAGTATGCGAAAAAGAGAATCTTGCTTAAAAAAATCCGTATGTTTGGTTATTTATTTTTGTTTACGCAGCTGATAAAGGTATCTTTTGTCAGTGGGCGGCTCTCTTACAGAATTACAGATTCAGTACAGTCGTGAATAGGCCCCATAGTAGTTTTACAATCAGGATTCAAATATTCTCTCATGAAAGCTCTGAAAATCGCGCCGCGTCGTCAATGGATTTTATAAAGATATTTATGTTATGAGTACCTACTAAAATATACTGAATCCTGGTTTACGGTGTAAAAGCAAAGATTCATTGGTCAGTATGTGCTCAAGTTGGGGTGAAATGGTTAGCTTAATGACGTCATTATCCCAATCTTGAACAGGGTTAATCGTATGTAACCCTTATTACATATTATGGCTATATCTTGTAGGGAATCACGGGTATTAAATTTGTTTATGTTCCGCTTCTGGACCGGACCGAATGGTCAGTCGTGGGTAAAAAATCGTTGTTAGGTCAAAGGCATATCGCAGTATAAAGTAATTGCACTTTAGGTATTACCCTGACCTTGAGGAGAGTAAACGTTTTGTAATGAGTGTATTAGGTATATTCTTGCTTACATTAGAACATTTAGTCATTTTAATTCGAAACAAGAACTATGCTGAATTGAGATTTAAACCGTTCTGTTTGAATTCATCGGTTGTTTATTACAAACTAGGTAACATACCTGAGGTAGATGTCTTGACTTGCGCGTTATGGGTCTCGGCGGTTCCCCCGTTAGGCATTTTCCGTTTGGCACTGCACCCACTATCTCATCCTTTCTCTCCTTCAATATCGGTATATTATGCTTCTCGAAATATCCATTCTGTATCATTTGATCCAACGAAACCTCTAACTCTCTCGCCGCTACCGTTTTCTTCCCACATATGGGATCATCAACCACCATCTTCTGACACCCTGATACTTCTGAGAATTTAACTATCTTCTTCGTTTCATCTTTCCTCTTCTTCTCTTTTGGAAAGTCTGTGGTCCAATAGCGAACGTTTTGTTCCGGTAAACGGAGTGGTTTGCACACCGCTACATTTTTTGGCTTGGACGCAAACTCGTTACGGCGTTTTCGCTGGTAGTCATAAGATTCGCGCGGGCGGCGTTCCTCGATTCTGAAGTCGTAATAGTCCTTTTTGTATCGTCTTTCGTTGTAATAGTTTCGTGGTAGGGAGTTGTATTTCGTATGTGCGTTAGGGAGGTTCAGATACTCCGGTCTGATTGGTCGGAAGAGAGATAAGCGACCCTGCGCTTCGTCGAAGTCAGAGTAAATGTCTTCATATACGTAACCATTTCGGCGAGGACGCTCCGCTCTATAGCGATCATATCGGACCCGGTTTTCGGGCCGGTTATTCTCGATTCGGTTCTCATAGCGGCGACGTCGCTCATATTCGTAGTCCAAGTCTGATCTTCTGTCATATAGCAACCTTTCGCGCGACCCAGCCATCCTTCAATCTGAAAAGATAAAAATCAATGTAATATAAATCAAATCTTAAATCACCTTAATTGGTAATTATATTCGATTTCACTTATAATATACCACTGAAGCACATTTGAACTTTCAAAAAAGCAGTCAAAAACTTCATTTAACAGTTTGAAATGAAAACTTTTTGTATAGAGTACGGAATCAATGAGGCTTAGTTACACGTTTTTCTCTTGTTATAAAGCTGTTGTAATTACATAATTGTCTGAAGTTTAATCTAAAGTAGCGTTTGCTGGAATAAGACCTTGGAAATTTTGTATAACAGAATATTTAAAACAATATTAAATTAAAGTGACACTCGGTTTCTCCAGTAATCAAGCTTTTGTGAATATTTAGTGAAGTTTCGGTTTAATTCAACGTGCCGGTCGTTGGAATGCTGCAATAGACCTTGGGAGTTTTGTACGAAATGAACAGATTTTTTCGTGCTCGTAGAGACTAATAAACAAATAGCACCTGTGCGCTCCATAAGGGGTGATATGAATAAATATATATGTAAATATGCCACATCCTTATATAAATACTTAGGAATCTGATTGACGCTTCAGTTCCTATATAGATATGTGTATGATATGATATGTAATTTAAGTTTCTTTTCTATTGTCGTTTTTGTTAAACCTTTATTTTATTATAATTTTGTTTCCCTTCTCGTGTGCACATATTATAGGGATGGCACCATTGTGTTTGTCCTAATTTTATGGTTCAACTAAATCTTTTTAAATATTTATCGCTGCACCCATTGTCATCAGGATGTCATCTAACAGGTGGTAAGGATGCGTAATATATAAAAAAACAATTATTGATTGGAAGCTATATGCTGTAATATATATTGAACTTAAACCACTTGAACATACAGCTGATAGCAAAATCATAATAAGAAATTCATTAATATTACGATATTGATACATACAAATTATATTACAGCATTACGGAGAGGTCATTGCCCTAACAGTTACATTGTATTAAAATGAAACCATCATACGAATAATGCTCACAAATGAAATTATAACCAAACAGAAATTGCATTAATTTGCATGTTAAATGCAATTTCTGAGCGGAAAATTCGATTGGTTAAGGTAATTGGTAACTGGGAGTTCTATTTCGTTAGTGTTTGTTGAATCACCAAGTTTAATTACTGCTTTATTCGTATATTACGCTTTGAGATCGTCTCCGTGGCTTAGTGGTTATTATGGTGTAGTAGAACATAAAGGTCCCGGGTTTGATTACTGGATAAACAAAAAACGATTCACTTAGTTTATATTCCCTAAAAAAGATTTGTTTTGTGTATTGAATAGGGTTATATGGAATAGTCTCTAATAATCTCACGATAAAACTAAAGGATAAGATTAGAAGTACAGAAATAAGAAACAAAAGTTGGTTTGAAGATGGCAGATGGACAAAGAGGGTAACAAAGTGGAAAGGGCCACCAGGAAAAAGAAAGAGAGGTCACGCTCTTGCACGGTTGGTTGACGAGCTTAAGGAAGTTGGTGGAGAAGATTGGGAGAAAAATGCTCAAGAGAGAGAGATGGAGCCAATTGGAGGAGGCCTAAACTCTTTAAGAGGTCCTTGAAAATAATATATATATATATATATATATATATTTTAAGTGTGTGTATATTTTGAAAATACTTCAAGGAATAAATGAGGATTATTACTTATTATATATTAATTACTAATATCACGATCATAGATCGGTTAGATTATCTATTATGTTATCACTACATACATAGCTATAGAAGCTAGTAGATATATTATCTAAACTTCACTTTATCTCTTAGGTTGCCTGATTACGATAAAAGTTAATCCACAATTATTAGTGTTTCAAAGACTATTACCAGATATTTGATATTGTAATAAATGGCGTAAAATATTGCCAGAGGGAAAATATAGAAAAATTTGTTTATGGCAATAAAATTTGACAGTGATCCCTTGAGTCGTAAAGAGCTCTGGGGTTGACGAGCTAAAAATGAACTTTGTTACAGCTACTAGTGACGTGGCATGTTTATATACCAGAAATATTAAATGGAAACTGTCTTTTCATAATAATGCGTAGAAGAATGTGTTTCTTTGCTTCGATAACACGTTTCATTTGCTATTACTGTGACGATTTGCTATTACTTGATGACGTAGTCAATATCCAATACGTATTTGAGATATAGAAGTCACCATTAGCATCGACTGTCAATGGTAATGCAAACCCTTAGGTAATGTTAGTAAAAATAGCGCACTGTTGCCTTGTTTTGTATAACCTGTAAATCATTGCAAATAAATCTATGATAACGATGCGTTGTGTTCTGTGGATTATATCACCAATTATCAAACAAATTACCGATACGTTAGCACAACACTAGATGTGACGCAGTGCGGTACCAAGTTTACGTCCGATAAATCTGTAACAAAACGTTTCCTAAACGGATGATGTTATTCATACAATTCATAATAATGGCGTATTTCTTTTTTATTTGTTTAGCTTCATACGTATTTAGCTAGTAGGGCCCGAGTTTTAATCTTGAGAGAATTATAAAAATGAAATATTGGAATGCTACTGGCGTATTGAAGACTTAAAATAATAATTAAACACATAAATTAAATTCATGATATAAATAGCTTTCTTAATTATTTTTTATTATATTTATGTAATTTGGGTAGCCTTGAAAAATATTTACCGAACAAAAATTAAAAGGGCAAAAACAGTTTCCTTTAATGTCACTCCAAAATTTTTCATCAGTTTTCCTAAATAAGGATAATATCACTTTCATAAATTTAATGATAAATTTATTTAATAAGATTCATAAGATCTGCCTGTTTTACTTAACTTTATATAAGTTTGTGATATGATTAATTTTTTTAGGACGTAATTAGATTTAAGATATTTATTTCTCATTAAGAATAGAGATAATATACTAACAAGTAATACAATCATTAGGCTAGCTTATAAAGTAATTGTGTATTACACAATTAGTTAGCACAACAAGAATAAATCTAACAGTAGAAGAAGTATATAGAAACATAAATACAAATTTTTGAAAACTTAGATTATACAAAATGTGAAAAATATTTATGATGCGCTAATATAATCGTATCGCCTAGAACGCGACCAAATGCAAAACAAATAATGAAACAACTGTTTCAGTTAATAATTTAAAACTTAAAAGGTCTATAAGATCTTAAGATAACCACTAAAAGTGTCGTGACCCACTCATGATAACCTGATTAGCATCGCGCCAAGGTCGAGATCAAATCTTATCTGGGTTAAGTTTCCGATACACAATCTCCTTTTTAATGAGGTTTTGATGACGCTATCTAATTTAAGAGGAAAGATTTAATTATTTGTATGCATTTAATAGGCTTACTTACTAATAAACCTTCAGAACCCTATGTTATCAATGATGAACATAGGCTGTAGAATATTTTCAAAAAAGAGGGATTCATATGAAATTACGATGATCTTATGAGTTGCTAGCTTTTTATTAAGGTTTAAACTTAAGCAAATAAGTAAGTACAATAAAAAAATTACAAATAAATTATTCTTAAAGATAGCATGAGCATAATTGGACCTTGGATTTGGTTTAAACCGGAAATGAAAATGAAAAAAGAATCTAAGTGATAAATACAATTATTTATTTTTATTATTAAAATTGTCTTGTGAAAAAAAGTGTTAATAAAACTAATTCAATTTCCATATTATGTTTTAATTTTCTTAGTCTATATCGTTTTGTCTTTTTGCAATTTAGGTATAAGGTAAGATTTTAAATGTTCCGAAAGTGCAAAAAATAAATGGCTAAAATTCTCCAATGAAGTGATCTAAAAGTGCGCTGCTAGGCTGGTAGAGACGTAAAAAGGCGCAATTTAAATATCCTCATTGGTGCAAAAAGAGGAAATCGATCGTAGCTTCGGAACAATCAGTGTTTTCTGTAAAAAACGGTCAAGTGCGATCCCCGCGCTGAGTAAGCACTTTTTCGATTCGCCCTCATTATAAGGGAAGTTTGAGGAGTTTCATAAAACATACTTCTTTTCAATAAAATTTGATGGATGAATTTTCATATAAAAAATACATGTTACATATATTTGTTATAATAGTAATAAAGTTTATTTCCCTCTTCATAATACATATAGTTTACATAATACAGATCTTGACCTGTCTTTGTGAGAGGCTGGTGTCTCTAATAGCACTATAGAAGTATTGTAGTAATTATGTAGTACTTGATTATTCCTTTCACGTGTTGTTACTTAATCCAATAATACCAATGGTCTCAAATACTAGCGATAGATACGTGGCAGGCATGTATGCAACGGCACGTCGCGGCGGCTACGCAGTGAATTCGTAGTAAGGGGTATTCGAGAGCGTTAGTATACCAATAGTAAACAAATGTATTTAAGAACATTCTTTGCTTTGTTAGAGTAATATTAAGCAAACTTTAAGGGATAAATTCTAAGTAGCTTTGAAATTTACGGTTTCATTCTAGCAATTAACAGGATTGTTTCTATAGTAATTAAACAGTGAATTGTATAATTTTCAATCATGTTACGTTATAGAACGTGGAATTATCGAAGAATCTTCTTGTGTTTCTAGAAAACACTAATAAGAAGACAACTTAATGGGCGGATAGATAGCCCTTATTTGTTGTCCATAATTTCTCTAAGAATCCCTCCCACGTATGCGACAATTGTTCCATGTGCCTTGTACGAAGACGAATTATCTGCGTAATTCGCAAATGGTTCAGATTTTAGCTAAAAATCAAATTTATGAAGATGTAGACATTTTCCACCTTACCAGGTGAAAGAATATTATTAAGCGGTAGTAACAATTTATTTATTTTTTAATTTTAAGTTTTAGTTTTCTTTTTTTTTGTTTAACAATGTAATCTGTTTTGTTTATATTGTTTAAGTGTTTTCTTTTATAACATGGATATATGTAGCTGTAAGATTACTTATAAATAATTAAATAAACTTACTGTTATAACAAC